CCGACCCTTACATGTTTTCTTATAATCGGTAGAAGAATCGCAGCGGATCGATTTTTGACATATTGAATATATCCCCTTTTTTCAGTCGCATCATAAATTCCTAATATCCACGACTCTTTCACCAAACGACCTCTGTTATATTTTCTTTTAGAAATTACCGATTCATCAATCTGTACCAAATGATTCTCTCCGCCTAAAAAAAATAAAAATTATAACAGATGATCCTCTTCTCAACCTTTGACACAGATCAATGAATAATATCAATTCTTATCAGTTTAATATCACTATCGCTCTCTTTTTTGATAATGACACATAAATAAAAAATGAATCAATAGTAAAGTAATCATTTTTTTCTGGTTCCCGTAAAAAAAAGATGATTTAATTTTAGAACTTTTTCATCTTAAAAAAAAAAACATAAAATCAATAATCTTCGTAATAAGTGCTAGTCTTCGTATGTTAGTACCTATTATAGGAAATGAAAAAATCTCAAATACTTAACCCAAACTAACCTGTCTTCGAAATAAATGATCTTTGTATGTTGATATTTTAGAAAAAAAAATTCTTACCTAATAAAAATAAATCATCTTCTTGGAGTAATTTCCATGACAAAATATCATGTATATTGCTGTACTAAAGCGTTCCTGGATTTTCCCAATAGAGCTGATGCTGACAAAACTCTGCATTCGCAGGCCCAATTCCACATAATAAATAAAACGTCACGGACTGGAACGTTCATTTTTTCAAAATACCTTCCCGTTAATACGGAATATGTTTTTCTGCATTTTTTGCAAAAAAACACATAATTGAGTGACGACGCACCATTTTTATATAACAAATCACACTTCTTTCGGCAGTTCCGAATTTTACACTGAAAATAATCTTTCAGAAGATTCACCTGCTGCAAATAACTTATAAGTTCTTTATCATTTTTATGGATAATGGCAAACATAATTGATAGATATTTTCAATTTCCATGTTAATATTTTTTTAAGCAAAAGAACACGAACGAAAACGGATAAATGTTATATGAAAATTCAAATTCAAAATATCGAAGTTAAATAACGGACATAAAGCCACTAGCGCCATCTAACGGAATGCCCACCTATGTCGGGATGTCGCTCGAAAACGCTTTTAGGCACTGTATTTACTTTTCAATTCAAACAAATCAAACTGATGCATCTGTATGAATTTCAGTAAATTTATTTATTCATAAGAATATTTATGTTTTCCGCATCTAATTAAACATTTTAAAGAAGAATTAAACGGTTTTATGAAGAAAGTATATCCAACTTGTAAGTTTTAGTGTTTCCGTATAGTATGATAGAACCTACAGTCGACCAGATAATTATTGAAAAGAAAAATTAAAAAACCGTGAAATTCAATCAAATACAATTTTTATATTATGTAGGGGATTTCTGGGATTCGGAAAAAGTAGAAATAACCCTCAGGCACATTCGAGGATATTTGCTCCAGTTAAGTTAGGTCTGGAAAAGTTACTACGAGGGAAAAACGATAATTTGTTTGAAAATTTGTGGAAAAATATTGATGCTTTGTGCAATTTTTTTGCAATTTGAGGATGATAGAGTTCGGTTGACCCATAAGCACAGTTCAGAAGAGTTTTTACAGTCAAGTTAGGACTGGGAGATTCATTACGGGGGGAAATCAATAATTTGTTGGAAAATTCGTGAAAAATCAATGATACTTTGTAGAGATTTTTCGAAGTTTGAAAATGATAGAGTTGACCCTAAAGCTGAGTACAGAATAGTTTTTGCATTCAAGTTAGGTCTGGGAGATTCGTTACGGGGGGAAGTCGATAATTTATTGGAAAATTCGTGAAAAATTAATGATACTTTGTAGGGATTTTTTGAAGGTTGAGAATGATAGAGTAGACCCTAAAGCAGAGTCCAGAATAGTTTTTGCATTCAAGTTAGGTCTGGGAGATTCGTTACGGGGGGAAGTCGATAATTTATTGGAAAATTCGTGAAAAATTAATGATACTTTGTAGGGATTTTTTGAAGGTTGAGAATGATAGAGTAGAACCTAAACCAGAGTCCAAAATAGTTTTTGCAATCAAGTTAGGTCTGGGAGATTCGTTACGGGGGGAAGTCGATAATTTATTGGAAAATTCGTGAAAAATTAATGGTACTTTGTAGGGATTTTTTGAAGGTTGAGAATGATAGAGTAGACACTAAAGCAGAGTCCAGAATAGTTTTTGCATTCAAGTTAGGTCTGGGAGATTCGTTACGGGGGGAAGTCGATAATTTATTGGAAAATTCGTGAAAAATTAATGGTACATTTTCCAATAAATTATCGACTTCCCCCCGTAACGAATCTCCCAGACCTAACTTGAATGCAAAAACTATTCTGGACTCTGCTTTAGTGTCTACTCTATCATTCTCAACCTTCAAAAAATCCCTACAAAGTACCATTAATTTTTGACGAATTTTCCAATAAATTATCGACTTCCCCCCGTAACGAATCTCCCAGACCTAACTTGAATGCAAAAACTATTCTGAACTCAGCTTTAGGGTCTACTCTATCATTCTCAACCTTCAGAAAATCCCTACAAAGTACCATTAATTTTTGACGAATTTTCCAATAAATTATCGACTTCCCCCCGTAACGAATCTCCCAGACCTAACTTGATTGCAAAAACTATTTTGGACTCTGGTTTAGGTTCTACTCTATCATTCTCAACCTTCAAAAAATCCCTACAAAGTATCATTAATTTTTCACGAATTTTCCAATAAATTATCGACTTCCCCCCGTAACGAATCTCCCAGACCTAACTTGAATGCAAAAACTATTCTGAACTCAGCTTTAGGGTCTACTCTATCATTCTCAACCTTCAAAAAATCCCTACAAAGTACCATTAATTTTTGACGAATTTTCCAATAAATTATCGACTTCCCCCCGTAACGAATCTCCCAGACCTAACTTGATTGCAAAAACTATTTTGGACTCTGGTTTAGGTTCTACTCTATCATTCTCAACCTTCAAAAAATCCCTACAAAGTATCATTAATTTTTCACGAATTTTCCAATAAATTATCGACTTCCCCCCGTAACGAATCTCCCAGACCTAACTTGAATACAAAAACTATTCTGAACTCAGCTTTAGGGTCTACTCTATCATTCTCAACCTTCAAAAAATCCCTACAAAGTACCATTAATTTTTGACGAATTTTCCAATAAATTATCGACTTCCCCCCGTAACGAATCTCCCAGACCTAACTTGAATGCAAAAACTATTCTGAACTCAGCTTTAGGGTCTACTCTATCATTCTCAACCTTCAAAAAATCCCTACAAAGTACCATTAATTTTTGACGAATTTTCCAATAAATTATCGACTTCCCCCCGTAACGAATCTCCCAGACCTAACTTGAATGCAAAAACTATTCTGAACTCAGCTTTAGGGTCTACTCTATCATTCTCAACCTTCAAAAAATCCCTACAAAGTACCATTAATTTTTGACGAATTTTCCAATAAATTATCGACTTCCCCCCGTAACGAATCTCCCAGACCTAACTTGATTGCAAAAACTATTTTGGACTCTGGTTTAGGTTCTACTCTATCATTCTCAACCTTCAAAAAATCCCTACAAAGTATCATTAATTTTTCACGAATTTTCCAATAAATTATCGACTTCCCCCCGTAACGAATCTCCCAGACCTAACTTGAATGCAAAAACTATTCTGGACTCTGCTTTAGGGTCTACTCTATCATTTTCAAACTTCGAAAAATCTCTACAAAGTATCATTGATTTTTCACGAATTTTCCAACAAATTATTGATTTCCCCCCGTAATGAATCTCCCAGTCCTAACTTGACTGTAAAAACTCTTCTGAACTGTGCTTATGGGTCAACCGAACTCTATCATCCTCAAATTTCAAAAAAATTGCACAAAGCATCAATATTTTTCCACAAATTTTCAAACAAATTATCGTTTTTCCCTCGTAGTAACTTTTCCAGACCTAACTTAACTGGAGCAAATATCCTCGAATGTGCCTGAGGGTTATTTCTACTTTTTCCGAATCCCAGAAATCCCCTACATAATATAAAAATTGTATTTGATTGAATTTCACGGTTTTTTAATTTTTCTTTTCAATAATTATCTGGTCGACTGTAATATACACGAATCTGAATATGAATATGAAGCTAACTTCAGCTACGTTGTAAGAGTGGCAATTGAACAAAGTTTTGGTCGATTGAAGGGAATATTTCGTAGACTTCGATATCTTCATGTACTTAATTTATCTTACACTAAATTTATAATCTTTACTGCATGTATTTTTCATAACATAATTATTCAAAGTCAGGAGGATGGTATGGAAGAAGACTATGAAATGGATGAGCATGAAGATGAAAATCCAATCGATATGCAACAACCTGTTAATAATGAAGCTGAGCAGATAAGACAAAATATTATGCAAGGTTTACAATGAGATAATTACAATAGGGGCCAGTTTCTCAATAGTGAGTCACCTCTGGGTTGGTTTTGACTACAGGGCTCGCTACAGGGTAAATGTGTCCAGTTGCAATATTTACCCTGGAGTTATGCTCAACCCAGGGATGACTTGCTATTGAGAAACTGGCCCTAGATTTTATAAAAATAGAAAATAATATTAAACTGTTACATTGTGTACCCAATGCTCTAGAAATAAATTGGTAACATTCCATTCCCAGATGAATTTTATGTGTTTTGCTTGAAAGAAAGTATCATACTTAGCTTAAAATTTATTTCAGAAAGGTATCTTAAACAATTCAAATTTAATTTTATTTCATGCAGAAGTAAAACAGCTTAAAAAGTTGATAAACCAATTTAAAAAAAATGCAATAAAAATTTAAAAAAATAATATATATTCAATAATATTTTTAGTGTCACTATACTGTAACAGAACGAACATTAAACATTAAAGAAAACAGGAACGCGTTGATGATTATTCTAAAAACTAATATGGGTAAATAGGTAGGTATCTAAAAAAATGAATTTGGAATGCCTAGTCTTTTTTCTGCTTGGCAATTGCCTCTGCCAATTTTTCTATAGCTTCAATTTCTCTTGCTTTCAAGGCTCGCTTTTCTTTCCAGCGTTCGTCTTTTCCTTTTTCTTTCTCTAACCTTTTCTCCTTATCTTCTATTTGCTTTTGAAATAAATATTCACCAATATCAATAGACCTTTTACGTTTCTTATTTCTTTCCCTATTATTTTTTAAATTCTCAACCAGAGGTTGAGGTCCCCCGTTCAGCCTCTTCTCTTCAGTTTCTGATTCAGTCGCATCAGTTTCATTCACTGTTGAAGCCTCACTTATGCTGTCCACACTTCCTAATACTTCCCTGTGGGGCAGAATATTAGCTTTACATCCTAATATTTCATCAAACATTTTATAAAATTCCCATGAAATGCACCCCTCTCCACTTTGTTGGGATTTTTTTTAATTTATTTTATAAGTACTTAGTAGGTTACGATATTTTATATCACACATTTCGCTGGTAACAAATTTCCCAGTTTTGGTTTTGATTTCACATGCAATTTGCTCCCAAAGCTTTTTTTTCTTACATATTGGCCGATTAAAATCTTTTTCTTTTTTCAATCTCAGGTCAATTAACATAAGAGTCAGTGATTGAGTCCATTTGAAAACGTTTTCAGTGTTAGTTGTCCCAGTACTAGTACTTGGCCCTAGAAAAAAAATCAATGTAGGTAAAGCCTAGATAGCTAAAAACCAAAATATCCACTACTCACTCACCCCTTATCAGCTCAGAAAAATTCCCATCACTGGTCAAATCACTAGTGCTGGTACTTGGTCCTGGTAAATTAATATCTGAATCACTAATTGATTCATTATTCGTCATAATGTCGCGAACTTGTTCGGCATAGCTGCTCAACTTATTTGGATCTAAAAAAGAAATGAGGAAAATTGAATGTTAAACCTAAATATGTACCAACAAACTGCTTACCATTAATTAGTTCCAGGTAGGTTTCATCGTCAACCATCACATTAAAGTAATTGCGATCACAGCATAACTGAAGGGAATTCATTTTTTTCACAGTTAATCTCTCTATTATCATTCGGGCCAGTGCCTTTGTGAATCTGAAGTTTTTCAAAAAGGTAGCATCAGATGCATTAAAAGCATTTGCCCTCTGAAAATATTGCCTTGGCGGTTGTTCTGCCCCATCTTCTGCATCTTCAATATCCCTAATTATATTTTGGATAATTGTAACGGGCCAAAATTGCATAAACATTTCTTACCTACTTTCAATTTTATATTCAAGATTTCCTTAAGTTTTTCAACATTTTCTCTCAATTTCAATTGTCGTCAGATTACCTAATTTTCCATAGTCAAATTCTATTTGCTGTGATAGTTTTTTTTTCCTCATTTTAATCCATATTTTAATTCAATTCTAAATCAAAACAAAGCAATGTTTTTATTACTATTTTAAATTCGATCATCTGTTTCATCCAAAAATAATTAATTCATCTGTCAAAAGTATGTCGTGTTCCGTAATCGTGATGTACCGTTTTCAGGTGGATGTACCAAGCTACTCCGTTCGTACTAACTGTTCCGGTTGTGGAGCGCTATCGATCTCGGCGCAAATTCGAGCGAACCCAGAGTTGCGCATTGGTTCGATGTTCTTTGAGAATCTGGAACGCACCCTGTGATTTCGTTTCTTTGACTTTTGATTGTCAAAAATTTCTGTCAACCAGCGGTGGAGTAGTGATGTTTTCAGTATCGTCGATTCTTCCTTGAGCTCTCTAATTTTGAAAACGGAACACTTACTATATTTTGTATTCTTCAAGTTTTGATTGTTTTATGGGATAATTATTGGTTGTTGATATCATTATTCATCAGCCGTTGTTATTTTTCTCAGTTTATATTGTTGTGTGCAATTTTTGGTAAGTGGGAATTCTGTCGATTGGTTGTTGTTGTTTGTCGTTGTTCTCGATCATCTCTAAGTCTGAATTCCTTCCTTTGGGTTAGGTTAGTTTATTAATTGAATGTGGAGCACATTTTCTTTCACATCTGGACGTTGGAGAATTAGGGTCTTTATGAAGATTGCCTTCGCCTTTTTGGGATTTCGACCCTAAATTCTCATTTGAAGTTATAACATTTTAGTTGCCTTAACGCCTTACGTTTTCGTAGTGTTATAATTTTCGCCGATTTATTCGGATTTTTACAACTCCATGTGTGGTAAGCTGCTTACACGTTTTTTTCCTATAGTAGATTCTGACTTTTTCAATTTAATTTAGTTGAAAGCTGCCCTAAGGAGTAGAGAATTCTCACTCTCTCTAGGAAATCCAATCCTCGATCCAGATTTCCGGAGATTTTCGAGGCCGACACCCTAATTCCATCAGGTAAAAATACATAACCTTATAACAATTTTTGCAAACTCAAGACACATTTTTCTCAATTGCTATCAAAGCCTTATTATGATTTCAATCTGATTTAATTAATTAATACCTTAATGTTCAATTTTTCCATTAAAATAATTTTCAAGAGCTATAGTCTTTTATCAAGTAAATTTGCTATTAGAAGCTAATCATTATAGTTTCATTTTTTCTTATTGATTCAATTTATTCATGAAGTGCTTCGCTATTAGTTCAATTACAAATACAGTGTGTATAACAGTTTTTCTCTTAGGGTTCTTTCACGAGGGTTTTTCTTTCACGAGGGTTCTTTCACGAGGGGTTATACTTTACCATCGAGTATACCCCCACGGTTATAACAATAGACGTTCAATTGTAACCGAAATTGAACCAAAAGGCTAACAGACGCCAGCCTAAGTAATCGGACGGTTACTCAAGTCATCGATCAAGTTAACCACAACCAGTAGCCAGGACTAATCTGGTGAACTGAATGAACCACCATCATCTGGAAAATTTTGGTATCGTACTAGTTTTAGTTATCCTGATTGTTTTTGTTTATTTACATTCTGTCCCTATTTGTACACCCGGTGATCACCTCGGTATTTCAGGGAATAATTCATTGCTTGCCCCAGTGTGGTAAATGAATTATTAAATAGGTAACTTAACTAGACATAACCTGTTGAATTTATGTCAACTTACTGGTAGTTCTGGTTACATAAGTGTAAAATAACCGCTCCAACTTATTATTTATTGTTTTTTTTTGTTTTGTTTTATTTTTTTTTCTCTTTAATTTATATTTGCAACTTCTTTATCTGTACATTTTTTTTAATTATTCATTTGGGTTATTGAGTTTCAATAACATATTTTTGCATTTAAATTTAATTGTTCTTGACTATAGCAATTATTTAAAAACGTATAGCATTTCTGTATCTCTGGGTTGACACTTCATGACAAGGTCATTTTATTAATTGCTAATTTACTTGATTATTATTTTTTTTTTTCCTCTTAAATTCAAATTATTGTTCATTGTGGTCTGCGGCCATTTGGTGAATAAATAACTGTAGTACTTGATTTCTTGACTTTTTATTTGGTTTTATGCACACAGCCTGGTTTTGCTAATATTTTTATTAATTATTATTTGGATTGTAAGGACCTGAAGCCAGATACCATCCTGGAGAGTCCGACTCATCTGTTCAGAGTCGGTGGCGCCCAAAACTAAAACCCACCCCTACTCTCCGAAATATTTAGTTCTGAGCTAGGGCTTAATTTGCACGCACTTCGACCTTCAGTCTTACAATCTCAAGTTCTTCATTCAATTATTTTTATTTTTATTTTCATTATTTTTATTTTACTTTTTTTTTTAATTTTTTTTTATTCTCGACTTTAATTTTTTTTTAAATTTATTTTTCTAAATTTATTTTTTTTTATGAACTTTTCTTAATCAGCGAAAAAGCGTGGCATAATAAAATACTCATCATCCTCGAAAATTGCTGCCATAGTAAGATTCTGTATCCAAGCACTTTGGGTGTAAAACGTAATTAATTTTTTCAATTATATTAGGTATACAAAACGAAAAGAGCAATTATTATCAAAATCGAAATCAACTACAAAAACAAAACATTTAAATTGTCGAAATTCGAAATAATTGAACTTGAACACAACACAACACGACAACGACAACACAAAACAAAACAAAATCCAACCTAACCTTAAAATTTAAATTAAAAAAATGCATATTTTCCTTGTTTTTATCACTGCGCAGGTTTCTCCCGAGATGAACCCCAGTGTTGCCGATTGCCGCATAATTATGCGATTTCCGCATAATCTAGAAGAGGTCGCATAATTTCCGCATTTAAATAAAAACCGCATTTTTCCGCATTTTTTCGCACTTTCAGGATATTTTATAACATCACCTTCCTTGAAATGTGATTTTAGGAATCAAAAATGCTTATACGATTTAGAATTGCTCAATTTTTTTGATGGAAATTATACAGTTCTGACTCCCGTATTATCACAAGAAGCGCGTTCATAAATGCTTAAAAAGTCATCGCTCTGGAGCACTACAGACAGAAGCGCTTCAGTTCAGTTGTGCCCTAGAGCGCTCGAATGTGTGAAAGCACCTATTTCACAAGATCGCGAAAAAACCTAAACGTCACATCGGTCGTTTTGATTTGACTTGCCGTTGCCGCCAATGAATGAACTATCTTGGGGAATCCCCGAGCCGAACTAAACTTCGTAGTTCGTTATTATTGGTCGGGGATTTTTGACAGTTTTACTGGATCGACTGATCGAGATTTGCTTGCATTTGGTACATCTTGGAGGTCATGAATTTGCCAACTGTATGGAATTTTGATTTGTTGAAACAGTGTCTGCGATAGTGTGTTTTATAGGATTACTCTAACCGCTGATTGATAAAAAAAAAACGAGCAATGGATCGTTGGCTTTCTAATGCGAAGGTACGTTAAAATTTAGCTATAAATATAAAGGGTTAGTAGGGTAGAAATGTTTTTCTATTACTTTTTTGTTAAAAAAAACTATAGATATTTTTATTCTTAATCTCTGTTAACATTTCCTAGGCAAAAAAAAACAACGAAATTTCTGAATCCGCCGGGAAGGAACCTCAACCAGGCTGTAGTTATCAAAATACGGATATCGCGTCTTGTTCTCCTAATTTTGACAATGATGAGGATGAGGATCAATTAATGGAAACGGATAATGTTGATGTTGATGTTGAGTCGGAAGCAGAGCGAGCTGTGAGTATTTTAAATTTGTACTTACCGTTTACTAAAACTTTATATATAATTATTCAGATCGATATTATGCCGACTTCAGCAGCCAAAAAACAAGGGCCTTCAGGATCGAAAAAAAAAGACAAAAAAAAATTTGTCGCATCCTGGTGTCAAATGCCTATTTTTCAGGGATGGTTAGAAAAATCCTCGAAAGCCCCAAATCAAGACAAAAATGAATTCGCCTTCTGCAAAGTGTGCCAAATGGATATAGTTGCTCATAAAAGTGTTCTTGTAAGCCACTCAAAAACTGAAAAACATAAATTAAATTATCTTCGAGGAGCTAAAAATACAAAAAATCGACGACCTTTTTAAGGGGAAAACTGCAAATGACGTATCGGTTAAAATAGCTGAATTGAAACTATGTTCAATGTTGGCAACTAATGATCTTTCGTTTTTATTAATGGACACATTAACTCCGCTGCTAAAAAATGTCTTTCCAGATTCCAAAATTGCTCAAGACATTCAATTGAAGAGAACAAAAGCAACCGCAGTGTGCAAAAGTTTAGGGGATAATTTTCTTTTTGATCTATATTCAAAAATTAAAGACCCTGGATCATTTTTCTCAATAATAATGGACGAAACAACGGATATTTCCGTTAAAAAACAATGTGCTTTCACTGTCATCTATTTTGATAATATTGATAATAAACCAAAAACTAGATTTTTTGATTTAGTAGAACCACAAGGTTCATCTGCTGTGGAACTTTTCACAGCATTGAAAGAATCTGTTGTGTCGAAAAATATTCCTTTTTCCAATTTAGTAGGATTCTCATCGGATACTACAAATGCCATGGTTGGTGAATACAATTCTGTGTTCTCTCATTTAAAAGAAGAATTGCCCAGCATTGTATGCATAAGGTGCTCTTGTCATATGGCACATCTGG